GGATTGCCTGAACCCGCCGGTTCGAGACCCGCTGGGCAGGCGAGACCTCATTTCTACAATAAATAAAAAAAATTAGCCGGGCGTGGTAGCGCGCTCCTGTAATTCCAGCTACTCGGAAGGCTGAGGTGGAAGGATCGCTGGAGCCCAGCAGGTCAAGGCTGCGGTGGCCAGGAGTGGCCACTGCACTCCAGTCTGGGTGACAGAGTGAGACTCCAAATAAAAAAAAAAAGAAAAAAAACCCATCCTTGCAGTTAAGGACAATTGGCATACAGGAACAATTGCTTGGCGACTTTCCCAGTACACATAAAGACAGGAACTGGAGTCCTGTTCTTCTCTTCACTGTGACCACGCCATGCACCACGCAGAGCTTAGACCACAGCAGTTCATAGTCTCCAGCCCGTGACTGCTTGTGCTACAGGGATGACTGGTGGGTGGTCCAAGGACTTTGACATTTTTTATGAGTGAACCAGAAGCCGAGGAGTGGTCAGTCAGGTCCCAGGGAAGAAGAGACTGCGGGGAGCTCGGGGGAGAGGGCAGTTCCAGAGACGCCACCCAGGATGGTGAGGCCCACCCAGGATTCTCCCCAGCCCTTTTGCCCAAGCAAAGTCCCCAAGTGGCCAACAGAGGCAGAGGCAGTTCCTATCCAGCCCAGCCTCCAGGATTCCCACAGATGGGTGAATAAGGCGTCTGAGCTCACAACCCAAAACCACAAAACACGGCAGAAAGTGGGGCATTCTCAACTGCAGCTGGCAGAAACCAGGCAGGAGGCTTAGATTAGTGGGATAGAAACAAGAGTGGAATATGTTAAAAACATTAAAATGGCTCATTGAAAATATGAACAAGGAGCAAATTGGCAGCATGGAAGATAGACTTAAAAGTATTTTTACCCCACTAATCTATTAATTCCTGTGAATTTCTGAGAATAGAAACCTGGGCTTTAGGTTTTGTTTTATTTTTTAATGGCATGTTTCCTGAAATGCTAATAATTCAAATGTAGATTTGAAGTAATGAGCCTTCGACATAGTTCTGGCGCCTCTAGATCAGCAGCAACTGTCCTCGCCTGACCCCCAGTGAGGGCGGCTCCCTATGAAAAGGCATCTTTGTTAATTTCTTTTTTTTTTGAGTTGGAGTCTCACTCTGTTGCCCAGACTGGAGTGCAGTGGCCGCTCTCAGCCACTGCAGCCTTGACCTGCTGGGCTCCGGCAATCCTTCCGCCTCAACCTTCCAAGTAGCTGGAATTACAGGCGCATACTACCACGCCCGGCTAATTTTTGATTTACTGTAGAGATGAGGTCTCACCAAGTTGCCCAGGCAGGTCTCGAACCTGTGGGCTCAGGCAATCCACTCACCTCGGCCTCCCAAAGCACGGGATTACAGGCTGAGCCACTGAGCCAGCCTGTTAGGCCTATTAATTTCTAAAGACATGAAAATTCATAGGTGGCTGTGAATTTGCCCTTAAATATGACTCAGGTGTTGCAGATTAGGGTGTTAAATGGTGACTTCGAGAAAGCTCAACACATTTACAGCAAAACATGATATATATATATACTTTTTTTTGAGTTGGAGTCTCACTCTGTTGCCCAGACTGGAGTGCAGTGGCCGCTCCCAGCCACCCCAGCCTTGACCTGCTGGGCTCTGGCGATCCTTCCACCTCAGCCTTCCAAGTAGCCGGAGTTATAGGTGTGCGCTACCTTGCTATGTTGTCCAGGCTGGTCTTGAACTCTTGGCCTCAAACAATATTCTTGTCTTGGCCTCCCAAATCACTGGGATTATTGACTGAGGGATGAATTGTTTTAGAGATAGGGTCTCATTCTGTCACCCAGGCTGGAGTGCAGTGGCGTGACTATAGCTCATTGCAGCCTTGAACTCCTGGCCTCAGATGATCCTCCTGCCTCAACCTCCCAAATAGCTGGGACTACAGGTACATACCACCATGCCCAGCTCAGTTTTCTTAAATGAATTCAGTTCAGACTGAATTCCTAATTTAGGAGTAATTTAAGGCATTCTAAAAAGACAGAAATTGGTTTAAAATGGCGAAAGAGGGTAAAAACTTGTAAGAATTATGACTGACAAACATCTGAGTGGGAACCCAGGTGTCTACGGCCGTGCAGACGCACCACTTGCCTGCCACAAGGCCATGTGCTCAGCCAGGAGGTGTGTGAGTGGGTCCTGGTGTCCATTCTTGTGCTTTTTGTAACATTTAAAAATTCCTGAAAGTGTCCCCAAGCAAGCTGGTAATGATCATTTGTTTCAAATTGTTTGGAACCATGAAGAACAAAGAAGGATCCTGTAAAATCTTGAAAAATACTGAAAAAACCCAGGGGATTGCAAACTGCTCAACATCAGTTCAGGATTCCCATGAGCCAGGATGCCAAGCCATCTTCCCTGGGCCGGCTTTGGGAGGACGTGGGTGCCAAGGGCCAGGCCGGGGGGCCCCCATCAGGCCGGGCTCCCCCCAGCCTGGGCCGCGCCACCCAGACAGGGCCCCCGAGGTCCCACACACATCTAGCCTGCAAGCCCAGGCCTTCCAGAGGTAGGGTTGGTCTCCCCTGCCTGGGGCCGCCCCGCCCTCCCACACTGCAGGGCTCTGGGCCTCTCCTGGGCCCTTTGGTAACCCGGCCTTGGGATGGCTGTGAGAGGGGCTGTGAGCTCAGAGCTGTGCCCAGCGGTGATGAGGTGCCAGGGCCGCCGCTCACAACAGCTCAGCCTCACCTTCTGGGAGAGTCGGTGAAGGCGCGTGTCCTGCCTGCCCTGCCGGGCCCCAGGGTCTTGTGGGCCGGGCCTCAACCTGATGGTGACTGCTCTCGCCCACAGAGCGCGCACTGCGGCCAGTGCGGCGAAAGGATATGGGGCCTCGCGAGGCAAGGCTACCGGTGCATCAACTGCAGGCTGCTGGTCCATAAACGCTGCCACGTGCTCGTCCCGCTGACCTGCAGGAGGCATATGGTGAGTCGTCAAGTGGCCCCCTCTCTGCCGCCAACCAGGCAGGAGAGGGCGCCTGTGGCTGCCAGATTTGGCAGGACCCCTCCTGAGCTCTGCAAGCCCCCAGCACTTCTGCTCCAAGGGGACGAGGGAGGGGCCCACCTCCCAACCACAGGTTCTCTTTAGGGGCTGCAGGGACCAAAGCCAGGGGGCCCTTGGGCACCTGCATGACTCTGGGCATCAGAGGATGTCTCCACGACATCTCGGGGCAGCCGTGTGTTCCTGGTGGCCAGTCTGTAGTCAGAGCAGTACCCTCCCACCACGGTCCCTGGATCCTGAATTTGAAGCATGAAGTCCTCCAGGGCATTGTTGACTTTTCCTCGGAGTATTCTGGCCACTTCTGCTGTCTCTGTCTGGCCCCTTGTGTCCCACTGAACCAGGGGACAGTTTGGGACTGACCCTCCCATCCCTCACGGCCTCACTGCCATCCCAGCTGCAGCACAGTGGGTGCATGTCCAGGTGTGTGGCCATAGATGTCAGGGGTGATGTGCCCTCCCCTTACGGGACAGAGCAGAGTAGAAATTGTGGTCTTATGCCTGGGTTGGCGAGCACAGAACGTGGGGTCATACAGGCCGGAGCTGGGGTGTGTCGGCACGGTCCCTCCGGAGGCCCCTGCTGCCATGTCCACCAGAAACCACAAAGGCACGTGATACCCTTTGACCCCAGGTCCACAGTAGCCTGAGGAGTGAGAGCAGCCAGAGGCTGGGCCTCAGTGCTTGCCACCAGATGGCCCCCAATAGGACTGTCTCGATGATGACACAGTGCATGCAACCCTGAGAATGGGGCTGGGCCGCCTGATTCCTGGTGAGACACACCCATGCAGGTTGGGAGGGGAAGGTGGCCACATGCTGTGTGACATAGCCCTTCTGTGAAGTCTTTAGGGGAAGGCTGTAGCTCTGCCCAGCGTCCCTGGCGATCTGTATGCTTTGTATACTCAGCATGGTGATGTGGCACACATATCTCTATCCACGATGTTACATACCTCTCACGGGTGTGGTCCTGAGAGGTCTGCAGAGCCTGCAATGACACTGCTGCGTCTCTGTGGCAGGATTCTGTCATGCCTTCCCAGGAACCTCCAGTAGATGACAAGGGCGACGACGTGGACCTTCCCTCCGAGGAGACAGATGGAAGTAAGTGCTCTTCCTCCCACCAGCAGGACCTGGGCACCCCATCACCCTGCTCATGGCCTTTTTCTGTCCTATCTGCCCGGCAAGGGTCAGCATTGGCGAGCCTAGCTACCTTCCTGTGGGCCAGGGACGATGCTCCCAAGGCCTTTCTTGGTCCCTGGCAGAGGGGCAGGGCGAGTGGTCTTCCCTGGGGACCGCTGGTCAGTGATGTCACCGTGAGGTGCTGTCATGGACTGGGGAGTGTCCTCTCTGGCCAGCTCTGGGAGTTCTAGAAGGCGCTTAGTGCTGCAGCCACCACGGCCCGGCGCCACCCCCATCTGCATGCTACATAAGCTGGCCCATGTCCCTGGAAGGCCCTGCTGGCGACACACATACACACACACATCAACTCTGTGGTCTTTGGGTTCTTGTGAGGCTTTCTCTCGGGGAAAGACTTTTCCAGATACCGAGGAGCGTTCGGAGACAGATGTCCATTCCCAACCCTGAGCTTCCACCCTATGTGGGCTCTTGTGCGCGGTGGGAAAGCCCTTACGCTCACCTGATGCGTGTGAGTTCTGTCCCCCAGGAGCCCTTGAAGGATGGAGTGAGATCACAGAGCACACAGCACTTAGTCCGTCCGGCCCCTCGCCCAAGGGAACTTCTGACAGACAGCCACCTGCCCACCACCCAGCCACCCCACCCATCTCACCCGCCCCCCCACTCTTCATTCACCTGCCCTGCGGTTCCTTTTTCATCACCCATCTGTCCACCACCCACCATCCACCCGTCATCCTTCTGTCCCCCCGTCGTACTCCTATTCCTCGTCCACCCTGCATCCATCCTCCGTCAGTCCGTCCGTCATCCATCCGTCCGTCCATCCGTTCATCTCCACCCACCCGTCATCCACCGTTTATTCCTTCCTCCTCCATCTGTTTACCATCCACCTACTCAACACCCGTCTCCTCACCCATCACCCGTCCGTCTGTCTGTCCCTCACCCTCCGTTCGTCCACTCACTCCCTCCCCGTCATCTGTCCCTCCCTTCGCCCAGCATCCGTCCGCTCGTCCGTCATCCACTCATTCACGCAGCACCCCTCCGTTCTCTCATCATCATCCCTTCTCTCATCCGTCATCCAGCCGTGTGTTCATCCGCCGTCCTCCGCTGACCTCCGCCCGTTGGGTCGCCCCTCGTCCGTCCGTCCGTCCGTCCGTCCATCCCCCACCCGTTCGCTCGCCCACCACCCACCCACTCACCCGGCATCGTTCATCTGTCCCTCGCCCATCTGTCCGTCCGCCCACCCATTTGCTGTCCTCCTCCGCGTCATCCGCCCATCCCTGCACGTGCTCACGTACCCACTTACCCACTCCGGGGACATACTGAAGGCTGGTCGCCAGAACCTCATGACTAGTTCTGTCCAGATGTGTGATTGGGAAAACGGGTCACCGATGCAGGACCCTGGACTCCCCCCTCCCCTCCCCCAGGTCTGGTGGGGCCCAGGAAGCTGCATTTCATAACTCCAGACTAGGCGCAGACACGGCTGCTCTATGGCCCTGCCCTGCACCGCTGCCCTGGCCCGGGCCATGCCACCCCACACAGCAGTGAGGTCCCCGGTCCCCACGTTCTCCCTGTTCCTGACCCCCCCTGCGATGACCTTCTCTTCCTTTCTTTCTTCGCCAGTTGCTTATATTTCTTCCACCCGGAAACATGACAACATCAAGGATGACTCAGAGGTGAGCGTCAGAGCCGCTCCTTTGTGTCGTGATGTTCTTTTGGAAAAGTTCACCCATCGTCCCCAGGGAGTTATGGAGACACGGACATGGGCCAGGGAAGGTGGGACAGCTGCCGGATTGCAGTGAAGTCTGCTATGTGGACACCTAGCAGAGGGTCTGGTTTGGCTTCAGGCATATCCTCTGCGCGGGGCAGCTGTCCCCACGGGCCCTGCCATCTCACGGCATCCTCCACCCAGTGCCGGCTCTTGAGCTGCGTGTTTGTCCACCTGTGCGTGCGTGCATACCTTCCTCTCATGGCCTCTGTGGCCTTCCTCGACGTGGACCAGGAGGCCAGCTCAGCCTCGCACCTGTGTCCAACTCTTAGAGGCGAATCCCGAGAGAGGCACGGGGGCACAGGATTGGCCTCTGCTCCTGTAGCCTGAAGAACGTCTCCTCATCGAGGCCCATGCTTTCCCGAGTAACCGGCAGACGGTTCCCTCAAACCTGGTATTCCTGTCTGGCCGCCCTTGTCAGGAGTCAGGTGGGAGCCCCTAGAAAGCAGAGCCCACCTTGTCCACATAACAGCCCCTTGCAGGGGCCCCATCCTCCCACAGACACCCCTGCCAGAAGTGTCCCAACCGACTGCTCCTCTTCTGAGACTCCGACTCAGGGAAAAAAAAAGTCTAAAAAGTTGAGCACTGAAGACTGTGTGCATCCGAGAGAGGAGCCTCTCATAGTGCCTGCTGGGTGTCAGGAGGTCTTGGCTGCCGTCTGCTAGTTGTGTCTGACATCCCTGGGGAGGACCCTGGTAGGACAGAGATGTGAACAGGTAAATCGCAGGTTCAGTCCTGTCGGCCCTAGGACACATGGCCCTGCGGTCACCTCTTTTACTTGACCTGGTGAGGCTGCGTCCTGGGTGTCCCGTGCTGGTCACAGCGGACCTGCAGCTAGTGACCAGGGCCATGGCGTGTAGAAGCAAACGGCTTTCAGCTTCCCGGCTCCTCCCTTGGATGCACACAGCCTTCAGTGCTCAGCTTTTTAAACTTATTTTTTCTGAGTTGGAGCCTCACTCTGTTGCCCAGACTGCAGTGCAGTGGCACGCTCACGGCCACCACAGCCTCGACCTGCTGGGCTCAGGCAATTCTTCTGCCTAAGCCTTCCAAGTACATGCACCACCATGCCCAGCTAATTTTTCTTTTCTTTTCTTTTCTTTTTTTTTTGAGTTGGAGTCTCACTCTTGTCCCCCAGGCTGGGAGTGCAGTGGCACACTCATGGCCTCTGTAGCCTCAACCTGCTGGGCTTAGGCGATCCTTCTGCCTCAGCCTTCCAAGTACCTGGAACTACAGATGCACACCATCACGCTAGTTTTTGTGATTTATTGTAGAGACCAGGTCTCACCAAGTTGCCCAGGCTGGTCTCAACCCCGTGGACTCAGGTACTCCTCTTACCTGAGCCTTCCAAAGTTGTGGGATTACAGATGTGAGCCACGAGGCCCAGCCAGTTCTCAACTTTCTTTTCTTTTCTTTTTTTTTTTGAGTTGGAGTCTCACTCTGTCCCCCAGACTGGAATGCAGATATGCGCTGCCACGCCCGGCTGACTTTTTGATTTATTGTAGAGATGAGGTCTCGCTGCCCAGGCGGGTCTCGAACCCGCGGGCTCAGGCCATCCACTCACCTCAGCCTCCCAAAGGCGCGGGATGACGGGCTGAGCCCCCGAGCCCGACGAGTTCTCAACTTTCATGTCCCAATTCAAACGGGAGTTTGGTGGGTGCTTGGACAGAGTCGCGACTGCTCATGGGGCTCTGAGCCCTGAGTGGCAGGTCTCTTGGGTTGGTGACGAGGCTCCTCTGAGCCCCCTGACATCCTCCCCTCACTGCCCCTGCCCTGTCCCCCGCAGGACCTTAAGCCAGTCATCGATGGGATGGACGGGATCAAGATCTCTCAGGGGCTGGGGCTGCAGGACTTTGACCTCATCAGGGTCATCGGGCGCGGGAGCTACGCCAAGGTCCTGCTGGTGCGCCTGAAGAAGAACGACCAGATCTACGCCATGAAGGTGGTGAAGAAGGAGCTGGTGCATGACGATGAGGTGGGACCGCGGGGGTTTGAAGGCTGAGCACGGGCACGGGTCCCGGGAGAAGCTGCTTGAAGGCCAGGCACAGCAGCTAGGGTCTGGGAGGAGGCGCTCGAAGGCGGAGCACAGGGTTCGGGTGCGGGAGAAGGCGCTCAAAGGCCGCCCAAGTGCGGGGTTAGGGAGTGAGTCACACCGCGGGAGGCTGGTTTTACACCCACGGAGGTGGTGCGTGGCAGACTGCCGTGAGGCCTCACCTACCGACGAGGACACTTCTGAAAGGTTTTGGGTGATGTCTTGGGGCAGACATTACAGCGTGTCACCTGCGCCTCGACCGCGGTCATGAGGGATGCCTATTGCTTCTGGCCGCAGGCCCACATAGCAGGGCCTGGGGCTAAACACCCATGGCGGTTGTGCACGAGGTACGCATTTGTGTGTCTTTTTTTTTTTTTTGAGTTGGAGTCTCACTCTGTTGCCCAGACTAGAGTGCAGTGGCCGCTCCCGGCCACCGCAGCCTCGACCTGCTGGGCTCCGGCGATCCTTCCGCCTCAGCCTTCCGAGTAGCTGGAACTACAGGCGCGCGCTACCATGCCCGGCTAAGTTTTGATTTATTGTAGAGATGAGGTCTCGCCAAGTTGCCCAGGCGGGTCTCGAACCCGTGGGCTCAGACAATCCACTCACCTTAGCCTCGCCAAGCGCGGGATTACAGGCTGAGCCATCGAGCCCAGCTTGTGTGTCTTAATGTAGATAAAGTGCAGTGAAGCGGGGTTCCTGGCCCATAGCCAGGGCACAGCCCGAGTTGAGCCTGATGACATCCCCCTTGTTGTGAAATTCTTCCAGGTGGGCTGAACAGGGTGGTGATGGGGGACAGGAAGCGCCAAGGGTGTTTCGGGGGCCCTGCAAATGTCACGTCGTCTGCTTCCTGGAGGCCTCCACAAGCTGCCGTATCTGACGCGGAGGTTACGGCAACAGGATCATGGTCTGTTTGTTGGAATCTTAATTCTGACTTCCTGTACTTTCTTCTTTTAATTGTAGTAAAATACACCTGACATAAAATTTGCCATTTTAACCTTTTTTTTGAGTCGGAGTCTCACTCTGCTGCCTACACTGGAATGCAGTGGCACCATCACAGCTCACCACAGCCTCAACCTCCCAGTTCAAGCAATCCTGCTGCCTCAGCCTCCTGGGTAGCTGGGACTACAGGCACGCACCACCACACCTGACTAGTTTTTTTATTTTTTGTAGAGATGAGGTCTCGCTTTGTTGCCCAGTCTATTTTCAAACTACAGGGCTTACAGCTGTGAACCACTGTGTCCGACCATTTTGACCCTTTTTTTTTTTTCTTTTG